TCATGTATTTGAAGGAAATCCTGTTATTTCATGGGCACCCTTAGAATTATTTTTCATAATATTCTTTTTAGGGGTGTTTTACAAAAATAAAATACTTTTGCACATCTTTTTCTCCTTATTCCTATTATATGTATCTCTTTAACCAGATCTATGACATTAAATCTCTCTTTTTGACAACCACATAGTCTTGGACCAACTGTCCCTTTTCTTAACCTCTCCCCTGTTAGATATTTAGATTGTTTCCAATTTTTCACTAAGCATTGCTGATTTAACCAGCACATGCTTCCCATTCGTCTAAAGTGCTGCATCCAGTGGCTTAGAACAGATAGACACCCATCATCATCCTGTGGCTGTGCTTGAGAACTGTTCGGAGGCATCTCTGTGTCTTCCAGATCTATGCCCAGCACAAGGAAAAGTTTGCTCTGGTGTCTTTGTGCTATTAGTATCAGGCCTGATGGTGAAACTGCAGTCTTTTAAGGTTTTTTAGGAGGCAAATAAAGGCTCTCTTGCTGAGGTTTTTCTTGGTGTAGGACGTTGATTGAAAGTCTTAGAAGAAAAGTAGGTCCTGATTATAAACCATCACTTCTTAGCATTCAGTTCAAGAAAATTCAATTAGGAACTATTGGATAAAAGTGTTACAGTTAACCTGTGTCCGTTTTGAGGCTATTGAAGGGTGGAGTCTTATCTAGGAATGTTAACGTTAACACTGTAACATAGTCACTTCCTGTAGGAGATGAATCTAGACTTGCTTTCCTTCTCATGGGTTGTATGTTAAATAAATAAGAATCCAGGCACCTGGGTGGCTCAGTCGGTTAAGCGACTGCGTTCGGCTCAGGTCATGATCCCAGGGTCCTGGGATCGAGTCCCACATCGGGCTCCCTGCTCTGTGGGGAGCCTGCTTCTCCCTCTCCCACTACCCCCTACTTGTGTTCCTGCTCTCCCTATCTCTCTCTGTCAAATAAATAAATAAATAAATCTTAAAAATAAATAAATAAGAATCCAAGCTCACACTGTGGTCTGAAACAGTGATGTGTAGGTCCTGTGAGATGAACAACAGTACTTCGATTTGGTTTGCACGATGCATTTTTAGAAAAGATTTCCTTTAATTCCCTGCATCTCCTCTTCACAGCACGTCTTCTGAGGAGGGTGCTGTATCTCCAGTGTACAGATTGGAAGGCTGACATTGAACAAGTGCACATGGCTTTGTAATACACATCCCTCTCTTAGACCTAGTCGTGCTGCCTTTCTGCTCTCCCACATACAGCTGCCCTGGGTTCTTTCTGCTCTCTCAGTACTGATTTGTTGAAAAAATTTACAGGGGCGCCTGGGTGGCTCAGTCGGTTAAGTGTCTGCCTTCGGCTCAGGTCATGATCCCAGGGTCTTGGGATCGAGCCCCTCATTGGGCTCCCTGCTCGGTGGGGAGTCTACTTCTCCCTCTCCCACTCCCTCCAGCTTGTGCTCTCTCTCTCACCTTCTCTCTCTCTCTCTCAAATAAATAAATAATCTTTAAAAAGAAAATTACAGCTACTTATCTGAGCATTAGTTTTGTGCTTGGGACAGTGTGAGACCTTAAATGAGAAACAAATGTGAAGCTTTCCTTTGAGGACATATACACGTGGAACTGCTTGTAAAAGGACACTACTCCTCATCTGTACCAGCAAACATATGTAGTGTAGGCCCCGGACGGTGTGATAGGCTACAGGTGCGCTTGGATTCACAGGCTGGTACCTCAGTTGGGGGCAGGGGTAACCATGGAAGACTTTTTAGCCAGTTGGATGGATAGAGTTTGCATAGAAGGAAATAAATAGGAGAGCATTCTGGAGTGTGGCCAATGATAAAGCCTGACAGGTATGGAAGAGCCAAAATCATGAAGGACTTCGAAGGCCAGGCAGTTTAGATGGAGCTGCCCAAAAGAGAGTCATTCAAAGTGACTGAGTGAGGGTGACGGCAGGACTAAGAGTCACTTTGTTTTTCTTCTTTTTTTTTTAATTGAAGTATAGTCGATACGCAATGGTACATTAGTTTTAGGTGTACGAGATAGTGATTCGACAAGTCGATGTGTTAATTCTGTGCTCACCCAAATGTAGCCACCATCCGTCACTGTACAACGCTGTTACAGTACCACTAACAACATTCCCTGTGCTGCACCTTTGACTGAGTAATTTTAAAGTAGGGTGCAGGAATACAAAACATGAGGATTTAATGTGCTTGTAAAGAATAGGTGCTTTGAAATATTTGAGCAGAGAGAAAACTCTGCCAAATTTGCAGTTTTATTCTTTCATTTGGGGATCTGTTCATTCATTGAGCAGATGCTTGTTCATACTAATTATGTGCAAGGCACTGTGGGAGATCTGCCTGAAAGAGTTGATGGTGTGGCGAGGGACTTCAAGATATATACAAATTTAGTACTGGAGAAATGTGATAGGACATTAAGAGAGGTATAGATGAAATGCTTTGTTGAGAGTATATTACAATTTCCACATGTGACACTAGCTACATGTGGCAGGTGGCTATCATATGAGACATCTCCAGCTTAGCGGCTTAAGAAAGGCTTCATGAAGGGGATGGCACTTGAGCCATGCTGTGAAGAATTTTGTATGCTGAGTAAATGGGAAAAGACATTCCAGGCAGAGGGAGTGGCTTGGTGAGCAAAGACAAGGAGACACAAAAGCAGACTCTGTAAGAAAACCAGTTTGGCAGAAGCACAAATTGTGTGGAAGGCATGTTTTGGCAAAAGTCGAGGAAGATAAGTTGGAAAATCTTCAATGACAGGAGGGAATCTGGCTATATCAGCAGGAGGGAACTTTAAAGAATTTTGAGCAGGAAGTGACTCGATCAAGGTTATAAGAATGGGTCTGATCATAGAGACATGAAGGGGACTGCAGGTAGTGGATCTAGGGAGAGGGTGAATGGGAGGCTTAGTGCAGATGTAGAACTAGGAAGAATTCCAGATCTCCCTTGTCTCCTGCCTTCCTCCAAACTGCTGGGTGTTGTGTAACCCATTTCCTGTTGAAATTGGTCTAGCTGCTTCAAAATCCGTGTTATATAAGTCAAAAGTTATGTAAGCAGTAGGCATCAGGACATTTAGCTGTGGATTTTGTTTGTTGTAGTTGGGTATGTGTGTGTGTGTGTGTGTGTGGAATTAAATTTTTTTAAACAGATGGATACATTTTTTAAGCATGCATTTGGTCTTACCATATCATGATGGCTCTCAATGTCCAAGGGCTCTTCCAGTGATCCTAAAGAATCTTAAAATAGTTGGCTCCCCAAACAGGCCACATTTGATTTTGAGAGAAATAGGGCATGTACCTTTGGGAGCTCCCAAGGAGTAGTCCGGATTCTCCAGAGAGGTGTGATTTAACTTTCAGTGCTTGGGAGGGGAGCTTAATTGGGGGGCCTGGTAAGGCCAAAGAGTTTCATGGCATCTTTAGCAGTGTTGATCTTTTGTATTTCTCTATTACTCTTTTATAATGCTGCATGGGATGGCTTAGCTCTGAATTGGCTTTTGGCCAGTACTTTATTAATTGGAATCTTTCCTGGTATAGTTGTGCAGGTGCTGTTTGATGAACTTTGGAGTGGGCCACTGAATGACTGCTAACTTTGAATTTGTCTGCAGACTGGACATTTCTGAAGTTGTTTAAAAGTTAACTTCTGTCTTCTCACTTTGAGGAACAAAGAAGTAGGATTATTTGCTGATGGAGGTTGTATCCTGATTGAAAGACTTTGCGATCAAGAAAGTTAGACATAAACTGAGAAAGTATGTAATTTGAAGCCGCAGAATGGTGTCCTTTTGATGTACTTTTTTTTTTTTTAAGATTTTACTTATTTGTCAGAGAGAGAACGCTCACAAGCCGGGGGAGCAGTAGGCTCCCCGCTGAGCAAGGAGCCCGACGCAGGACTCAATCCCAGGACCCCGGGATCATGACCTGAGCTGAAGGCAGGCGCTTAACCAACTGAGCCACCCAGGCGTCCCTTTTTTTTTTTTTTTAAAGATTTTATTTATTTATTTGATAGAGACAGCAAGAGAGGGAACACAAGCAGGGGGAATGGGAGAGGGAGAAGTAGGCTTCCCACTGAGCAGGGACCCTGGGATCATGACCTGAGCCAAAGGCAGACGCCTAACAAACTGAGCCACCCAGGCGCCCCAGGCGTCCCTTTTGATGTACTTTTATCAGAGTAGACTAGGCTGTGTTGTGACAACAAACAGCACCAACATCTCAGTGACTTCACCCAACAGATTTCTTTTTTTTTTTTTTAAAGATTTTATTTATTTATTTGACAGAGAGAGACACAGTGACAGAAGGAACACAAGCAGAGGGAGTGGGGG